TATATGAATTATTGTATTTCATTTTCATTATTTTTATTAAGTAACTTATAAAATTTAGAAATCATAGTTGTAAAAAAAGCCTTGCAATTTTCAATAAAATTTGTAGATTCAAATGAAAATTTTTATTGAAGTTTACCTGTTATATAATATTTAATATATTTATTTTATATAATACATATACATTTTTACAGAGAAAAATATTCAAATATTGAATAAAACATGTCAAGTATTTTACATATTTTCATTGCCATTCAAAAATAATTATTTATATCTCGGAGGAAATTAAACGGGGTTTTCGACAATCTTTCGAACGGTGTCATATTATATCCTCATGATTACTTATGGATTATATATATATATATATATATATATATATATATAGTTAAGAAAAATAGGCAATAGTTTGTTGAATGCAAGTATAAACATGCGTATGACAGCCAACCCACATACTGCATGGAGTCTCGTGTATATCGTCAATGATTGCCAACGCCATATTAATTTCAAGATTATCTAATCTTGCAACAATATCTTATTTGTGCTCTTATATAGAGTAATAATTCAGCATATTCATGTCTAAATAACAAACAGAAATGTTAATTAAACATAAAATTCATACAAACTTAAAAAAAAAAACATAACATGAAATTAAACATAAAACAGTAATTTTTGTGAATATTTGAAATAATGTTAAGATAATTTCAATTCAAGTGTCTATGATTAGACCAAAACCTCCCAGTGATGTTCGATGGGAGGATTGCTGGCAAGTGGAAGAGGAAGCCGTATTTATTCAATATTAACACATAGCGTATCGGTGTGTTTTTTCTCTTTATTTATTTGCAAACTACAAAGAAATTTTGATGGTAGTTGTGACTTGGCGTTCGTATGCACTACATAGAGTGGTAGGAGGTGTAAATCTCCTGATCCTCTATGGTGTGTTTGGTGGTAAATAGTTAGACTGAAAGTAAGAGGTCGTAAATCTCTGGTACTTCTTCGTGTAGTGCCATGTAATGGCAACGTATCCAATAAATGCCCTTGCAGCCGATGTTTTCTCATACACCTTCAGCCGTTCGCGGGAGCTTTGCGAGCCAATAAATGCCTATCGCGACAGGTGCATTCACACCCACAGAGTTTCACAAGGCTGGCGCTCTTGCGCCATCAATATATGGTTTCTCATGTCTTACCTAATTCTGTGATGAGTGTGTAGGTGGTACGCTTCTAGTTTAAGGTTTACCATTGAAATACAATCAGCACTCTTGACTACTTAACTATGGCGCACTTAAATGGTTATAAATTATTACGGCTTCACTAGTGGCTTACTAGTTTATTATTGCAGAGTCCGGCAGAATTAATTAGTGCATATATTGTGAACCGATTGACTGGTATAGAGCGGAGTTTAATGGCTGTGTGAGTAATAACTGATAATTGATCGATTGAAAATATTCGCGTGGTAGCTTACAACGCTGGCAACAGTGCTGGGGCTTGTTACTAGGCCGAAACTCTTGATGACGTCAGAAACTAATCTCCAGAATTTTCGAGAAGTGCAGAAGGGCAGAATTCCACTACATTGGAAGGTTCGAGAATTTTCAATCTACGTTGCTATGCGGAAATTTTGTTGGACACTAGAAAATAAGGCGTAGACTATGAAAAAATTCACAGAATCAATGTTTACAAACATAAGCGTCCGAGAGTTTGTTTTGTTCTTCGAAATTACTCCAATCTCGAACATACCACCCGCCATCATCAATTCATTTGATGATTATATCTTTTTTATCTTCTCTTCCTCAGGGATTGGCAGTAAAAAATCTGAAACATACAGCTGTTATCCTCAAAACTTATTGAATATTTATAAATAATGTCCTAGTGATTAGCAGCGTGTGAATACTTTTACCAATGAATGCCAGGACGATCTTTTTGATAGCATTGCTTGTCACTCTACTTGAGCTGAATTGACCAAGAGTCAGGTCAGTTTATCCATTGGGCATCCATTGTAATCCGGAAATTTCAGTTGTGCGTTCGTCAATGCAATTGATATATGCTGTTTATGGTCTCCTTTAAAAGTGGAAGAACTTCTCATATTGTTGAGTGTCAAATTTCCGATGGGAACCAGCCACCATGCTGAAGTTCTGCAGTGGTATATGCAATGTTCTGATTGCTAAGAATGAGGTAGCTCTCGTGCCATAGGTAACTGTAGTCAGATGATATGTTCGTTAATGATGAGATTACTAATCGCCAGTAAAGACTGAAGTACAAGGTCCACAATCTCAGAACATAACCAGATGTGCGACTGTGTTACAACTGCTTGGAACACCTTCTAGTAAATTATCCTATTATTCTGAAGAATGACTATTGCATTCTGATTCCTATATAACCCGCCAAAATCAACTCTTCTAAGATTTTCGACAGACGATGCCATCATTACTACAGATTGATTCTGATTTCTCGGTAATTTACAAAGATATGTATGGATATCTCTGGATTTTCTATAAAGGACACACTTCTATTAAAAAATCTATGCTTTGTTAATCAAACAGGAACCCATCTCATGGATGTGTTGTTCAATTTTGAACAATAAGATTTACTAATATAAGTTTTATTCTAGTAATATAAATTGAAATACTAATTATTATGAAAAATCCGAGTATTGGTATTATTTTGGTAGATAATTTATAAAACTTTCTCTTAAACGTAAAATATATTTCAATAAACGAATAAATTTCGTTTTTTAATAATTTGTTATAATTTCTTTTCCATATATATTCATAACTTGTTTCAATATTTTTATTCAGTTCAATACAGTAATTTATATCAATATTTTAATTATAATTAATTTTGTTCTGTTAACTTTTAATTTTTGTATATTTCATGTTGAACTTTATAGTGCTATAAATAATTTTGTTTTTAATTTTAATATCAACGATGCAATAATTATATGTTTTAATTATTAAAATTTATTGTTTAATTTTCGTAAGTTTAATATGAATTGCTGCGACACATTATATTAAGATATCAGAATAATTTTGTCTAGAAACGAATTTGTTTTTTCATAAGAATTTTATTGAAGGATACATGAGGTCAACGTCTCAATTCCTATATAGTTACATGCCTTACACCTACGTCTATTATTTCGTTACAAAATATTTGATACAATAAATAATTCTTTTGGACTAATGTATTATATAATCTATTACGTAATATACATTACGTACTTATTGGAAATTATCATAATTATAAAAATATTTCATATTTTTGAGTAAATTTTTTTAAAATATACTTTTATTCGCGACATATTTATAATTTATAAAAATTTTCTTTAATGTAATCTAGTTTAAAAAATGCATAATAATAAACAAATAAATACAACAATAATTAACGTACTATATCTTCTAGAAATTTAATAGAAATAGCGAGTTTCTCAGTGAAATTTGGTCACTTTATGTTTACAACACGGAGAAGATAATTGGCATTTTTCTATTCATTGACTTATCAGATAAAAGAAGAGAAGTTCTAATAAGTGTGATGTGTACGTAAAAACGATTAAGATACTAATGTCTTTGAAACTGCATGCAACCTCCTTCATACACTTAAGTATTGTCCTACATAATTTTGATCATATAACAAAAAAATTCAGAATCTTGTAAAATCACTAGATTTGTGGTTTGATTACATATTTGCTTAACTTTTAATATTATAGTATAATTTTTAAAATATTGATATACATAAGTAAATATTCCAGTATTCAAATGCGTTATTCCTTATTGATGACTAGAGAATTAATTTTCTTATTTTTGGGCAAAAAAAATGTAGAGAGATAAAAATAATGTTTAATTAGCTAAGACGTTATAAATGAATGAAGTCGCAATGAATTTATTAATATTTCATTTTATATTAATATTCATATTTAATACATACACATTTAATACATACAGACATAATATTAATATTTAATAATATTCGAATAGATTTGAACATTAAGCTATGAAATAGCTTATTATCAGCTATTTTAGTTAGCAGAAAGGAATAACAAAGTTTTGCTAACGCAAATTGTTATTTGTTATTAGTATAAGATACACTATGTAAAGTAAAAATATCACAGAATTAAATATCTAACAATTTTCATGCATCAAAATGATACATTTTAAAAATATTGTTAAAATAATACGAGTATTGTATGCTGCTTTTAATAATGCTATTTTTAATAATTTGATCAGGTATTATTTGAAGCCGTATTAAAACATTCAAATATAAAATATTGTTGGAATTGTAGTATCATTAAAAATTGCTAGATATTTGTTGCTAATAAAAAAAAAGTAAAAAAATGTAATTAAATAAAATAAAAAAAGGATGCGGCATTGTACAAGATTATAACAAAATTTTGACTACATTTTGAATTACAATATTCTTCAAATTATTCGAATTACATTATAATTTGTACTGAAAATCGATATTTCTATATATGTTTTCATCAACTTCTAATGAAACTCCTTTAAAATTGATTTAGTTATTCATTCGAAGTTAATCGATATTATTTTCTAGCTATAAATGTTTTTGCTAAATTTATACTTTCATCCGACTATTTATTGTTAGCAAATAAAATTGATGAATATTAATATTAATACAAAAAAAAGATGATATTATTGTGATAAAATGAAACTGTGATTATATTTATAAGTTCATTTTTTAAAGGCATGTTTGCTTTTCTTACTAAAAAACTTATGAAGCTGAATTAATATTTCATCAAATTTAGTCATTCGTTGAGAACGAAAAATACTACGTCCAAAAACCAGCGGTCTTTTTTCCAAAAACAATCAGATCGGAGTACTGGAAGAACTAATATAGTATGACGAAACTGAATGATGTTAGCATTCTCATAATCAAAGAGAAAAAATTGTGTGTGTGTGTGTGTGTGTGTGTGTGTGTGTGTGTGTGTGTGTGCGCTGTTGCTTCGATGTATCAAGAAACTATTTAGTAAAAACTGATACAGTTGATTGGTCATTTTTCAGGTAGCATGCAGGAAGGCGGCAGCAGAGTTTCGAAGCGCGCCAAGCCCCTGGATCGGGAGGAAGAGGACTATTACTACGAGGATGAGGTGGATGAGCGCAACAATCCGACGAACGAGGCGCCTGTCGTACCACCCGGATTCCTCAGTCCATCGGTGCGCGAGTACCTTGATCTCGGCAAATCGATACCCGGTACGTAAACAAGATTGTCTACCCCATTTGTCGACTCTCGCCTTTCCCTGCGAGACCGCTTTACTCGTGAACTCCTGCTCCCTGCTGCCCCACTCCGCGCGAACCAACCATTCGTCCACCATCCCTTCTTCTTTTCTTATGGTGTTTGTTTAGACCAGCCGTCAAAGTTTAGGGCGCGGGAAGGGAGATGAAAAAGTCAAAGAAAGAAACTCCAACGTCAAGCTTTAAAGAATGGAATTGCACAATAAGCTATAGCACTAGTACATATTGCAAGCGTTACGAGGACATTCGATGGAAGGTTCTTTGTTTATAATTTGGTTGATACACCTTGTGTCTTGAACATTATATCCTTTATAGTGCGGTGTGTTTTGATCGACAATGCCACGGATGCAAGACAATTTCACCTACGTAATGATAGTCATATGCCAATTAAAAGCGAAAAGGTTTGCAATGAAAGTAAACTTTTGTATAAGAGTAGGAAATAAAAAAAAAGAAATAAATAACAAAAAACAAAAAACATTGCCAGAAATAAACTCAGCGATTATATTATTAAAACAATATATTTAATATTGGTGCCTGAATGTACTGATACACTCAATCGTTAAAAAGTTCTTTGCATGAGTAAACAGTGTTTTTAATAAGATAGTTCAATTTACTCTGAAATTGGATTTCTGAATAAAGCACATTAATTACATTTTATTTTATAATAGTGATAATAAATATTGCTTTTTAGGATACCAAAAAAATTAAAGCGCGTTCAACTCTAGTTACAAATTATGCAAATTGTATAAAATATTAATTAATTAAAAAATATATAAGTATAATGTAATTAATATTATATTATTTTTATAAATTAATATTATAAAACATTAAAGTAATAATTTTAGCAATATCATTAAAAATTATATATTCAATAAATGTATATTTCAGAAATATGTTTTGCATTTTACAAGTCATCGCTTTTTGTTATAATCAACATGATAAAGTAAAACAGTTTAGATAATGTAGATTTATATGCATATTTAGATATTTAGAGTTTGCATTATATTTATTAAATTACTAATCCCGTAGCTGTTATTGCACTGTTTATTGCTAGCTTTAATTTCATTATAAGGGCATTCTCTTGCACAACAGTGTAATTAAATAAATGCTTATTATAGATCAATAAATGCGCTTATTCATATTCAATTAGAATTTATGAGAATGCAAACATTGATTTTTATTTAATATTATTTCTAGCATATTACTTTATACAATTATATGAAAATCATGTATGTGAATAATTTTTAATACATTTTATAATAGAATCTTAAACTAATAAAAATTGAAATAAAAATTTTTTTTTTGTAATTAATGAATTAGTATTAATAAAGTTTGGGACGGATAATAATAGGTATTTAGAATCAAAATCTTTTAGTTTGAATAATAGCATTGGTATAAAAATTAATTGTATTCGTTTATAGTATAAATAAGTGTTTGTTATTAGTTTTATTAACTTCAGTTGAATATTTAATAAATTAAATCAATTATCTTAGGCATTTAAGGGGTAAAGCTATTTACCGAATGTACTATAAATATGTACCGAAGGTATTATACACCTTAAATTGATAATATTAAAACTGCTGCTCTTATGATTATCAAAAGCTAATTCTGCAATCCTTTTTTGTTTTATGTGTTACATTATTTCATTTTAGTTCGGTTCTTATACTCTTTTTCATATCGCTTCATTTATTTGGAAAACTATTAAAAAATTCGATGTTAGTATGTCATTTTCTCAGAAAAGCCTTATTTATTTAAAATTTAGTTATTAAATTTTATTAAATGCCCTTCACTTTAACACCGTAAATATTATACGATAGTAGTAAATATATAATGCGATTTTATTTCAATTAATTGATCATAAACTGTCTGTGATCGATAGCAGCACTATTGCTTTTGGAAAATTATTCTTTTTAATTAACCTTAATTTTCAAGGAAATCTTCCTTTTAAATATAGCTTATGTTGAAAGAAGAAAAAATTAACAGTATACTTTGTTAACTATGTTACTGGATATATTCAATTTTGTTATTAAGAATTTAATTATTAGAAATTTTATAATATATCTCATTTATTCGTGTTATTATACATTACTTTTTACTGTATATGAAACTCATTCGAAATTACTCTAAATATTGTCGGATATCAAATAAATATCAAACAACAAGTATTTTATAAAATAAATATATCAGTCTATTTCCTTCAGAGTGTAGGGATAAAACACTGACCATAGAGATGCTAGTAAAGCGAACATTTCTTAACGTCAGCTTTCTTTTCCAGCAAACTTCATCGGCTTTGGGGATAATACATTCGATAATACTAAGTAAAGCAGTTATATGTTTCGCATAAAGTAGATCAAGTAGGCACGATGCGCGTACTCATTCTATCAGTGAAATAGTTGGAAACTGCAAGGGGAAGGGTTTTTCGACATAGGCAAAAGTTTTTAAGAGAGAAGGTGAGAGAGAGAGATACAGAGAGAGAGAGAGAGAGAGACAGAGAGAGATACAGGGAGGGTGGGAGGGAATTTAAGATCGAATATATATATATATATATATATATATATATATATATGCAGTTACGATTTATTAAATACTAAATTCATTACACATTCTATATTCAAGATTTAGTAGTTCAAATGCATTTAATCATATATCACTTAATAGCGAAGTAAAGAGATAGAGACAGCGAGAGATAGATAGATAGATAGAGAGAGAGAGAGAGAGAGAGAGAAAGAAAAGTTCTGAATTATTTGTAATTACCATCACCTGAACCTGATTATAGCTTATAATTGTTTGAATCGATATAAACTTGGAAGTATTTCATTTTTACTATTTCTCTTTCCTTATTTATAAAAATCTGTTTTATTGATTATTTAATAACGACAAAATTAATTTCTATTAACCGCCAGAATTTGTCAAAATTTTCATAATATTAATAACTATAAATTATGAAGTAAAATTTAAGTATGATTTCGGTCCTAAAATATGTCTTTAGTTAAAATTAGAATAAACAATTTCCGATTTCATGTTAAAAATTTGTTAATGTTTTATTGACAATTATATATATTTATTTATCTATTTCAATATTATAATATACTTAATAATTAAATGTAAAGTCTTAAATTTTTAATTTAAATTGTTAATTTTTTAATTAAATTTACTACTCAATAATGTCTGAAAATGTAAAAAAATTTTGTTTTTGCGAATAAAATTACCTTTTAAAACCTTGTATTCTACTGCATCCTAAATAAATTGGGAATTTATAATAATTTATATATTTATGAATAATATACAAACACACACACACACACACACACACACACACACACACACACACACGTATATATATATATATATATATTATATTATATAATTAAATATATAACTTATTATAAACTCTCAATTTATTTAGGATGTAGTAGAATACAAAGTTTTAAAAATAAATATTGTAGTATAATTATGAAATTATCACTTTCGAATAAATTTGCCGCTCTACCCCATGTTTGCTACATTTTGAACTTATAATATGTAAAGATTAAAATTTTATATATTATTTAAAAACATTACATAAAAGCAACTTTTTAAAGTAAAAGATAATATAATAACATAGAAAGAAAGCACTTTATATGTAATAATGAAATATTGATAAAAATGAATAATTCATATAATTGGGAGTTCCAGCAACGCTTCGAGATTTGCATTACTACCTAAAGTGATAGTAGTACCGAAATAATTGAAGCCTGACCACAAATTTTCGTAAACCTTTGAAGATCAAGAACGTTCTCTCAGCAGTGATGCTTCCCCAATTAAAATGTGCCGAATTTTTGTATTTTTTGTCGCAGTAACAGGACACTCGCTCTCTGGAATCAACCCCGAAGAGCGTACTCATCTCGCCTTCCGGGCTAAAATTGCATTGAATCAATATGGCAACGTAAACTTATCTCATTGACATAACGGCTCTCCCGGAGCTCGGAGTCCTCCAAGTACTAAAGTCGGGAAGAGGAGCGGTGGCAAAACATTGAAAGACAGAGCTCGAGAACCAAGGAGAACAATAACGAGAGGGGTATGTTGAATGAAAAAAGAAAGAATAAGGACGAGAGAGAAAGATGCTACGTCAACGTGCGCCAGCAACAATAATGAAATATCCGCGTCTCGAGCCCGGACTCGCTCTCGCTCTCGCTTTCCGCTCTTCGCTGCCTTAGCGGAAAAACCGTTCTCTCGCCATTCTCCCACCCCCATGTGCATGCACCAACCTATTCGCAACCGACACACGCAGCCGCACGCACGCACAGGCACACACACACACAAACACGCGCGCGCGCGCGCGCGTACACACACATATACAAACACACCACCCACAAGCGCACGCATCGAGAGCGAACCTAACCCAGTGGCGCCCAAGCGGCAGCGCAGAAGAGAAATAGCTGCTGCTCGTTCCGTGCGCTTCGCTGACTTTATGACGATGGCTGGCACGGAAACATAAAAGCAAGAGAAAGAGTGAGGAGAGAGGAAGAGGTAGGGAAGCGGCAAGTAATAGGGCTTGGAAGAAGATACTAAAATACGGAAGAAAAAT